ATAGATAGGCAAAAGAGAAAAGTATAGAAGGAAACACAACAAGAATTATACTTATGACAAGACGAGACGGGACTTACAAGTGAAACAAGTCCTCCATGCCACTGAGGTAAAGTTCGGGATCGGGCGGGTCGATGAGATCGAAGGCAAGCACGTCTTTGACGCCTATGCTATTGAGCTGCAGAATAGTCGATTTAGTCTCCTCTCTCAGAATGCTGGGCTTCAAAGATTCTGGAAATATCTCTTCGTACACTTTTTTTGTGTACATTCGAAAACATTTCCCTGGTCGGGTTCTCCCCGCGCGGCCAAGCCGTTGGTTGGCAGAAGCCTTGGTTATTGTCTTAGTCATTAGAATTTCCAAACGAGCTCGCGGGTTAAAGACCATCTCTTTGACAAGGCCAGAGTCAACGACATAGGCAATCCCATCTATAGTCAGACTTGCTTCAGCGATGTTAGTGGTTATCACACATTTCCTCCGCTGAGCGGCCTCGAAGACTCGCTGCTGCCTGGAAAATGGCAGAGCCGAGTACAGAGGTAGGACCTCAATGCTTCTTTTCATTTCTTTCCTAATGATCGTGCATGCTTTCTCGATCTCTTCCTCGCCAGTGAGGAACACTAGAATATCACCTTCAGGCATATTGTAGTGGATATCCCTCACGTAGTCGATGCAAGTATCGAAATAAGACTTCGTATTTCTCTCGAGGTGGTACACATCTACCGGGTACTGGCGTCCAGGAATGTGAAAATGTGCAGCATTGTCGAAGTATGCTTGAAACTTAGGGCCATCAAGTGTGGCGGACATGATGATTATCTTCAAGTCCTCCCGGCTACGAGCAATTCTCTTGAGCACGGCCATTAGGATATCGGTGGCGACGGTTCGCTCATGAGCCTCGTCGATGATAACACAGCTGTATTTGCTTAGCCTTCTATCGCTAAGAGACGCCTGGAGCAGATGACCATCGGTCATGTACTCAATCCGGGTCGTCGCCTGGGTAGTTTCTTCGTCGAAGCGCACAGTATAGCCAACCTCCTGGCCTAGCGTGACGTCCATCTCGGCAGCCACGCGTGTCGCCACGGAGGAGGCGGCTAGTCTGCGAGGCTGAGTGCAAGCAACGCGCTTCTTGGAGGCGTACTCGTCAAATAGAACGAATTGGGGAATTTGAGTGGTCTTTCCGCCACCGGTGTCACTTGTGAGGACTAGAATCTGTGACTTATGATAGGCCTCGAGGAACTGCTGACGGTAGTGGGATACCGGAAGCTGGCGACGGTTCTGAAGGAGACGACGATACTCAGGTGAATAGAGCGGAGTGCCATGGCGAAGTAAGTTCAAAGCTCCATCCTCTAGCTGAGTGGCTTGCTCGGCGGTGGTTCTGTTGCGCTGGAGGGATTTCATAGTGAGCGAGCTCATTTTGGCGAAACGTAGGTATGTTGGGACTATTGATGATAGAAAGTCTTAAGAAACTAGGAGGTGTTGGTGAGAAATATGATGTGTAAGAGTGAATGTGGAAGTATCGAGACCAGAGGCAGCCACACGAAGTAGTCGATGGTGGTTGAGTATTGTACTGATAAAAATGAGGGTAAGGATGTGGATTATGGGTGGTGCTAGAAAAAGAAGACTTGGTCAGATGCTTTGGTCAAGGTCAAGGGGAGGGATGTTGATGCTCGTAAAAAAAACGAAACACTCTGGGGATGAAAGGAAACACGGATTATGTAGGTATGAATGAGTCTCACAAAGGTTAGGTGGTTTATGTCGGTTATGGTGGGTTGATGAGGTGTGATACTGAGGGAGAGGGTTGAATTAGGTAGCTAATTGTAAGAATAAGGGGTAATATAGAACTAGGGGTGAACTACTACCTTGGCCAATTAGTCTAGGTTCCTGCCTTTGGACGTTTACGCGAGGTTGTTATCCGCAAGCTAGGTAAGTTGCCTAATGATTGCAGGTAGTGCCTGTTACGGAAGAAGATGTCTTAATAAGTGCCTAGGTACCTAGATAGATATTCCTTGTTTGTGCAAGCGCGATGAGGTACTCGTTGCCTGATAACAGATATCGAAGTTACGACTGAGGTAGAAGGTACGTTCCTACCCACCTGCACATCTAAGTATTCACGTACTTTGTTACTTCGATGAAAGGTAAGGTATATGGATTAACCTATCAAAACCTGGAGCTGTGCATATTCCATTATTATTATTTTTAAGAAAACAACACGAACTCTCTTCAACCCAAACCCAAACCCAAACATACAAACTCATTCATCTTGATTTTTTTGTTACTACATCCCAAACATCCATCACACCTCTCCTTTTACCATCATTCTGTCAATTCGTCACAATGGGGTTTCGCCAGTCTATGAACGTGTGGCTGTACCAGGAGATTGAAGAAGGCCGAGTTGTGTACTTGGGCAATATTCACTTCGATGCAACCAAGCAAGAGGTCGAGTTGTTGCTGAAGGAGAATGGATTCAACAACTATACCTTCCACTGGTCCGAAGTTTCCAACAATGATTCCGATGATGGTCTGCAAGAGCACGATGGTTGGGTTCAGGTCGAGTTCAATGACCAAGAAGCCGCTAAGCGGGCACAACGCGTCTTCGATGATTTCCTTTTCCATGGAAGACCCCTACAGGTGATGAAGGCAGATGACCCAAACCTCGATCTAGACGAGCATCGACCTGCCGTACTCATGAGCGACTGGATCTACGACCCGGGTGACCCCGAAGCTCATCGAAGGGCTTTCTTTAAGTACTATGAAGAAAACCTTGAGGAGCCCTATCGCTGCCTAGGCGTTACCCATCGCTTTCTTGTGACAAGTGACGCACAAGGCCGCCCCAAATTTCACTCGTGCCAAATACCTAATCCGGCACCTGGGCATAACGAGGCCGCAGCAACACCTCACATTGCCATGATCGACGAGACTAAAACACCAGTCACTATCCCTCTAGACCGTGCAGAGGAGCTCAAGGCCGAGGGCTGGTCAGTGTGGGACCACCCAGACAACCCCCTCGACATGAACAATAACGAAAGGGACCTTCGTCATCTCGAGCGAGTCAACGACATTCACCACTTGGGTGCTGCCCATAACGACACCAAAGACTTCTTCAAGCTTGGTCTCGAGATCCACAGTGCCATAAACAGCAAGGCCAAATGGGAGCCGGGACAGATCATGGGCGGTGACAGTGCTAAGAACCCAGCCCAAGACTCGCCTTCCCTAGCCCCCTCCTTCAAACCACCAGCAGAGCAACCAAACCCTCGCAGTGCGACATCTTCTGGTTTTGTCCACCGATACCCACGTCCAGGAGGCGTCGGCGCGGGTTGGGGAGACCACGATCTCTTTGGCAAATGGCAATCCTACGGTAGAATGATTGAATTTGACATGATCCCCGAGATTGAATGGTCCAACGATATGTCGGACAGGCCCATCTCCGTCTGTGAACGGACTCATGCGGACGGTATGAGACATCAAGTGGCGCCCGAGCCGACGAGACGAGACCCGAATATCTCAACGGACCCGACTAACCTGTCGAAGCCCATCCGCCGCGCCCCGAGATCGCTTTTCGACATATTTCGAGACGCCCGAGCGCGACGTGCGAAAGCCGAGCAGCGTCGAGCTAAGATGAGATTTGAACGCAACGCTGAAGCTGCTTGGTGATTTCTGAACCACGAGACCTGAAAGTCGTATTCACCCTTGCGAGTCGTATCGCTGCCCCTTTTCTGATTGCGCACTGCTTGCGCTGTCTGTTTCATTCTTCCTGTATTGTTAGTTTTCTTCTGTTGTCGACGAACGTAAGTTTGTGAGTCTGTCCCCGAAGTTGATTGCAGTCCACGACAGAGTGTATCGATGCTCATGTTGTGTTGACACCCATACGTGGGTTGGTGGAAATCTTTCGTTTGCTGGGTACGGAATCAGGTTGTTGGCTTCATCTCGTTGGGGCTGAATGCTATGTAGAATGCAAGAACTGTTGTCTGTAAGAATTGACACTGAATTTTCCCCTAAACATCTTCGATTTCTAACTTACATACCTACCTATGTTTGCTTGGTGTTGTTAGTCACCCCCTAAGCGGTAGTGCACTCCCTAAGACCGTACGTTTGGGGACCGTAATTGTGATGAAAATCTCCAATCATCTCACTAGCGACCTAGTTAGTTAGGTACTTGGGTCAGCTGAGAGCTCTATCCATCGTACTCTCCGAGCCTGATTCCATTTATTCATTGTGAAGTTAACGTATTATTCCGCTACTCCGGCCATAGCCCTAGTCGATTAGGGTTCCAGATAGATGACTGGTAGTTTCCAAGGAACCACCGATTGATATACAAGGAAAGCTACCTACCTAGGTACCTATCTATACAGTTGGTCCAGCGAGACGCTTAACAGTAACTGTTATGTGAAAAGAAGATAATACGATCAAAGTGTCTATGTAGCAAGGAGGTTATGAAGCGGACCGACATACCTTGGTTCTCCTGAGGATACCGGGACATTAGGACCTGACCTGGACTAGGTCTATATGTCAGTATCAGTAGCCCATCTAGTAAGGAGGCAAGTTGATAAGAAAAGAATGGAAGCCTACCAAGGTATTATGTCTTTCCTGCAACTTAAATGCATACTCTGGGCATCACTGATATCGAGCTGTGTTAGCTAGGATAATGTTGCTCCTGACAGTGTCTTACCTTCCAATGACACCATCCTATCATACAACGTCAAAATTCGACTTCTCATCTTCCGTGGCATCGGTTTCCCGCTCAAGATCCAATTACCCCCTACAAACTCGTCACTCGGCTTCGGATCAGTAAAAGGCCTCGGGTGCCAGGCATGTAGTTTCTTGCTTCTTCCCCTTCAGCTCGCCCTCCAAGTCTCTCAACACCACCACAACGTATCAAGGTAGTCATTGGTAATAGTAAATAGTAAATATCTCAGTGCAAGTTTGGTTGGTAGAAATAGGGGCGTGGGGAATTTTCGGTTGGTAGTAAGCCAAGCGCTATTTAGGCTGGGATGAAAATTCCGACCAATAAGGACCGGTAGCTCAGTGGTATGAGCGCAGGATTGCAGTGACAGCTATCCCGAGGTCGCGTGTTCGATCCACGCTCGGTCCTTGCGTATGATTTTTGCAAGCTCTTCGTCAGGTCGTTCTCAAGCTGTTCGAGTTGCCAGTTCACGACTGCTGTGATGCCCTTAGATGTTCTGGGCCGCACGGTACGTAATCTTTTCCCCCCTTCCCCCTTTTCTACCTGACACCTAAGCTAACTTTTTACAGCGCGTTACACTGACAAAGCCAGCGAGTACTTCCTTGGTAGAAATGCCCGGGTAATCTTGTTAAACTTTGTCGTGCTGGGGATAGAGCATGGCAATTATTGCTCTTCAACGAGGAATCCCTAGTAAGCGCAAGTCTGTCTGATGGAATTAAAAATAAGGGGATGACTACATAGTGGGGACATTACCTAGGTAGTTACAGTGCGGTTTCAATGCACAGGTGCTTAAATCACACCGTGCCAACTGATAATGCTGTGCGACATCCGATAAGATATTTAATATGTACCCGTACTTGCACATAACTGGGTTTAGAACTCGTGAACCTGAACTTCTTCCACTCACCTCACCGAGTAGGTCGGAGAGTTCACCAAAGTTGCGCATTGTTCTCCTGTGAAAGCAGGGAAACAATTGGATTGATTTTTAGAATCAAACACCTAATTTTTCGTTTCCATCCAACTAACCAACACCAAGTATCGCACGCACATCTGCACGTCCCATGCCGTGAATCGGTCCAGCTTGTCTGGCGATAACAGTGCACCATCATGGCGACCGAAGATGCGCGCTACAGGCAGTCAACCCAATTCCGACTATGGTCGTTCACGCCATCCCACCTTGCGACCTTACGCGAGAAGACCAACACTCTGGCGCGAACTCACCTCGCCAACCGTTTGCGCGCCTCGGACCCTCCCGTCGACCCTATCCCCGATTTCCTGACTCCCGCCGAAGAATACAAGATTCTTAATCACTTCACTCTCGAGATGCTACGTGCTGCTCCCTACTGCAACCTCCCTACCGATATCCAAGCCACCGCCGCCGTCTTCTTGCGACGCTTCTACGTTACGAACAGTGTTATGACCTATCCGCCGCAGGAACTTATTAAGACCTGCCTATTCTTTGGGTGCAAGGCCGAAGGTTACTTTGTACGTGTGCAGAAGCTCGCCGACACGTTTCCGAACACGACGGGCGAGATGATCCTAGCGGCTGAGTACGTGTTATGCCAGGGTATAAGATTCGCCTTCGACGTACGACACCCCTATCGCGGCTTGGAGGGAGCCATCATGGAACTGAGAAGACTGGGTGACTTTGATAACGACAGAATCAACCAAGCTCACAAGAGAGCACGAGATATCTTGAAGTTCAGCCCTCTAGTTACGGATGTCTACTTCCACTATACACCTAGCCAGATCATGTACGCCGCATTGGCCATAGCTGACGAACCACTGGTTCAACGCCTGATGCGCGGTGCTTTCGCTGGCCAAGGTGAACAGGCCAAGGAAAAGATCTGGGGTATCATCGAAAACTGCAAAGCCGTACTAGAGAAAGAGCCCCCGGAGAAGATGGCTACTTACTGGGTTGATGTAAGTTGGGTACCTAACATTGCAGAACACCATTGTGGTTGTGGTTTTAGCTTGATGCTAATCTTTGAAACACAGGCCGAGAGCACCAAGGCTGCTAAGATGTTGAGAAGGAAGCTCACCAAGTGCCGTGACCCCGATAGAGTCGATTTGGTCGCTTTGCAAAAGGCACGAAGAGAGCAAGCAGCCCAGAAGCCCAAGGGCAAGGAAGACACCAAACCGGACGACAAGATATTCGGCAACGGCGTCAACGACGAACGCGAGTCTAAGAGACGAAAAGTTGCTCCAATCGCTGACCCTTTTGGACCTCCCTTAGGAGCCTAATCGCGAACCCATGATAGTATTTCTGGGTCAGGGGCTGGATATGATGATGATGACAAGGGCAAAGCAATCAATCGGCTAGGGACTTGGCAAATGGATGTATAGATGGATTCATGTTTGGCACGGCATTCCCCCGGAAAAGTAATCATAATCACTCTTCACTTCGGACTAATAAAGTCTTTCACATTAACACTACCTGGAGCATTGCTGACATCCTAATCTTCTAAGCACTTAAATCATCCAACAGGTTACGCCTCGGACTTGAGTCCCACTATCTTTTTCTCCTGTTGCGCTTCCTCTTCCTCGAGGATCACATCAGCTGGGATGCGGTCGGGCGTAGCATTGACTAGCATTAGCATGGGCACAAGAGCAGCTGCCATGAGAGCGAATGTCACGCAGCTAGAAGTATCTGTTAACATTTCGAACGGAAACTTGAGCGATATTGAGAACACATACAATCCGATGAGAGGGTCGGCCTTGATCTGCGTGTTCATGCCGTAGGAAATGGCCTGGCCGACCGCTTCGAGACATCTATCAGGAATATTAGTTACGATACTTGGGAGGTAGTTTCATGGTTCGAGTATAATTTCGACTCGACCAACGTACCGGAAAGCAGCGCCATTTCGCACGTTCGACTGCGCGTCCGTTGCGAAAGAGGAAAGGAGCCAGTACATATACGACTGTGACAAGGGACCTGTGGTTTGGACGAAGAAGTACGGCAGGAAAGACGAGGCGAATAAAGACTCGTCCCAATCAATATAGCCTGGGCTCGTGGTGTTGAACTGGACTTGCATGACGATGGACCAGATGTACACGCCCAGGTTGAGGGTGACGACGGTGAAGAGGCCAAGTTGCGCTCGTCGGCGCTGACTAAGGGACTTTATATCTAGGATGAAGCCCAAACCGAAACATCCCACTCTAGATTCTCCTTTAGTGATGACTCTAGAAAGGACTAGGGAAATAAAGAGGATAGGGGATACTTACATGCAGAAAAACGGCGAGATGAGCGAAGACAGGGCGCGAGCACGAACAGTAAAGTACGTTCCCAAATACGTGGACCACGAACCACCATAGAAGAATGACCAGATCGCCCAAAGAGCCGAAAGCAGGATAAGTTTTGAAGTCATGGTGAACCTGATGAGCTTGGTCTCCTGCTTGAAGGTGAGCTTCTCCGATACGAGGATGCGCGTCCCGTCGGATCGAACGACGTTCTCGAGAGGCGAGATCAGGAAAGCGAACGGTAGCGCTAGACTCTCAATGATTAGGAATGCGATATACGTATCGGGTGTCACTCCGCCAGTGACCCCTTTGATGTGGTTCTTGGACAAGCTGCAAAGAACGAAATCAGTATTGACTTTCACCGTGGCGGGTTGGATAACTCACTTGATTGCGCCTCCAACTAGTTGTCCAAGATTTCGGGCCACAATCCATAGAGCTAGGTACTTGCCACGAGAGCCCGACGGCGCAAGGGACATGATCGAGCCGGACTCTGCCACGTACCAACATCCACTACCGATGCCGGTAACGAAACCGCCGAAAATAAGATACTATGGGCTCGCGTTAGCCGCGTTCAGAGAAATAATAGAGTGAAATCCCTTACCCATTGAGTCCCGAATTTGCTGTTGCAGTAGTAGGATGAGCCACGGATAGGGAACGACATGGCGCCGATAACCAACGCCCACTTCGTTCCGAGCTTGTTGACGATGGGACCACCAAACATACAGACCGTAGCCAGCATAGCATAGTTGACCGCAGTACTAAAATTCATATTACCCTGTTAGAAATTTTTTCTTTGTTCGCTTCACAAAAAAACGTACGCTATATTAGAGGTCTGAGGCGTGGCTAGACCGCCTCCACCGAGACCTGCGATCGCGTCCGCCATGGCAGGTCCGCAGAACGCCTGCACGCTCAGCAGCATCATTTGCGTCAAACTGTGCTGGTAAACCCGCTTCCACAACGGAATGGCCTTCCTGTAGGCCTCCATGTCGACTCTTTCGTCGGCGTCGTTTGTCGGGTTCATTGGGAGCGAACCTTGCCCACGCAGGGCATCGTCGTTCCCACCCGCGTGGGTATTGGGGGGTGCAGCGTCGAACTTGGACATAATATTGATGTCGCCTTGGCACTTACTACTGCGGATTCAAGAGTGACAAGTTGGGAGCGCTGAGCTGAGAGCTGAAGATCCCGAGTAGACATGACGCGATGGTGTTAGATATATATGCACCCTAGATATATCGCGAAGTATAATGCCGAGCATCAGCTCTCGTCTCCTTATCAGGATCAGCTTTCGCTAATCTGTGGATTCACCTCTCTAAAGCCGGGGTAAACATATCATTGGGGCCCCACGGAGCTGGGAGAACGAATCGGAAGTTGCTCAAAACAATTCTGCTAGACTTGGCTGCCATCTAAGCCAAAGTCCCGCCTCGAGAGCACAGGTTCGGGGGTAGAGAATCAGGGGATTAAACCGACTTGGGAAATGATAGCAGTCCCGAATCCGTGGGAAGACCCGAACCTCTTGGGCCTCGTGGACTAGTCCCTGTCTAAAAGACGACGGGTTGAAATTTACGGAAGCAATGCCGACACATACGACCCTATGCCCACCAATGGCCTGCGAGAGACGACGCAAGAACCGCTAGCAGGGAATCCATTCTCTATTACGAACTTGACCTATTCAGGTAATCACAACAGTCCGGATCGGCAGGGTCTCATGCAATGCACCATTTGAACCTCGAGAGCCGAAGAGCAACCTATCTGAGCGCTAGTTTATCTACATCGCGGGTAGATAGAAGACATGGCAATGAAATCGCCTCACTACAAAGCGAGCCTCGAACCTCAAATTCTCTTATCTCATGGAGCTATTAGTAGAGAAAATCAAGAAAATCGAAATAATACGAACGGCCAACCGTCTTGGGTAAATATAGCAGCCCGGGATTTAAATCGGCAGAGTGGAAGCCGAACATTCAACTTGATTCTAACCCGGCGTCGACTATTCCATGCTCCAGCGTCCCACTCTCCCCACGGCCCCAGTTAATAGGCGAGCCATCGCGGTAAGCTATTAGTAAATCATCATCGTCACTGACCAACCGGAGACCCTACTCTAGACTTCGAATTTGCGTAGCTCGGTGGACGGCACGTCGATGTCGCGGCCGGCATCGTGCCACTCTTGTTTC